TAGGTTCCCCTCCATGTCTTAATTCTTAGCTCAAGGGAGAGAGTTTAAATAATATAATGGCATGGAATGTTGTTCTGGTTGAGAGCATTGGTTTTGTAGTCTTTGAATCACAGCTTTGCCCCTTACTGATTGTGTCACCTAAGGCATGTTACATAACCTTGTGAACCTTAGTTTCCTCATTTATAAAATGGAAGCAATATTACACCTTCCAGCACTCAGAGAAACAATGCACATCAAGTAATTAGCCTAGTGCTTACTAAAAGCCTTACAGTTTTAATTATTGTCAAATGTTTTACGTGGTTCTGATTCCCTAATACAACCACTTGCTTAAAAAAAAAATCATGATCTTGATTTATTGACCATGAAGAAATGGTGAGCCATGGAAAAATGTGAAGCATAGAGATGTTAAGAGAAGTTAATAAAAAGCAAACATAAGGATGTATTTTAGAGGTTTCATTTCTGATCTTATTAGCCCAAGCTGAAAATTAAAGTTAGATATGGATATGGCATTATTTAATTTTGACAGTGAATTTTAAAATGGGGAGGCATTTAAAAAGCATACTTTCAAATAATTTTTGCAACAGAGTTTAGACCATCAAAATTCTGCCTGTGTGTGCTTTTGTAAAACATATATTTATGGATGGATAAGCTTTATTCCAATGTCTGCGTAAATATGAGTTGATGTTGAACAATAGAAGGTTCCTACAGAGGGCTAACATTTGTTTATTAGACAATAGAACTTGGTCCTGTCCTTCAGTTTGTCTCTGAATTCAGTTGATTGACACCTCATTATTAGCAGTTCACTCTCACTAATCATTTTCACCACACGCAGAATCTTAAAAAAAAAAAAAAGTCTTTGGGTGGCACTTCCCATTTCTCAACTGTGTGTGTTTTTATATTAGCAATGAAATATTGATAATTTTATAACAGAGACTAAAATGTGTCTGTAGAAAGTGATTACAGATGTTGGCAGTGATGTAAAAGGTGGCAATTTTGAGGAGAAGGCAAGATAGAGGGAAAGCTTTGTTTTTAGGAAGGTGCCAGCTCAAACATATTGATACTTGACAGAGTGTATGTAAGGAGATGAAAGGTAGACTAGAAATATAGTTGAAGGAGGGGTGGAAGGGAGAACAAGTAAGATGGTGGTGTTAGCCTTGGAGTAAAATAAGAGGGTTTTTTTTCTTTGAAACAAAAGTAAAGAAAGTAAGGATGGTGTAAATGTGCAGAAAGAGGAAATTGGGGAATGGATCTCCCATTCTTTGGTGAATTGAGGTAAGAGTTTGGATTTGATTGGCCAAGGAATGGAAAAGAGCAGTCAAGTTTGTTAGTCATTGAAAATGAAAAATGTGGGAAACTAGAGATGATTAATAGAGTCTTACATTTATTCTTCCAACTATTATTTATCACTTATGTTATGCTGGGAGCTAGAGATACAGGCACAAATAAAACAGAGGGCTCCTGATCTCATGGAGCTTGTAAAGGAAGCTGGTATGTTTAGCCTGGAAATGAAAAGACCCAGAAAGAATACCAAAGATATATCCAAATATTTGAAGGGTTACAAGCAAGTATTGAGAGGGAAAACCTGCCTGTCCTATGTGTTGCTAAAACACAGATCTAAGACCAGTAGGTAGAATTTATAGGAAGCAAGATCTTGACTCGAGGGAGAAATGGGTGCCTTTGGAGGGAAGGAGTTCTGTGTCATTTTGAAGATACTCAGAGAACAGGTAGCCATTGACCATGATTGATAGAGATGGTTCAGGCATTGGAAAGCAAGTTGTGCAGTCAATGAGCTTTTAAGACACCTTATAACTCTGTGAGTCTGTGAATCACCAGGTGTCATCACACGATGTCACTTTCACAAATTATTGCATAGATTGTCATCCTACCCAAACTGTTGTCAGTGTGCATTTACTTTATATTAAGGGATGGGAGGAACCCTGAAGAAGGTACAAGTCTATTTCCTTTAAAGTAACTACTCTTCTATTTTCTTGTGATTAAGACATTTATTTAAAACCAGCCTTGCTAGTAAAAAGGCATATAATCACTGGTTCTCTTCAGCCCCTGTCATGACAGATTAGCATTAATAATTTAGAGAATGGCAGCATTAAAAGTAATTACAAACTGTCAGAAAGATACAAGAAATACGACATAGTTCATAGCTTCTTTTCAGACCTCAAATATTATTTGAGGGGAAAAATAATTACATTTTCCTGTTCATTTCCTAATACAAATAACTTAGGAAATCTCATAATTCTTGAAATTTGCAATTAATTCATTGAAAAACTAATGTCACTTTGAAAAAAAGACCTCTTTGGTCACAAATTTCCACTGTGGAATGATTCCTTAGGGCACATTCCCAATTGCCTTGTCAAGGCTCGTTTTAAATGCATTAAGCATAGCAACATGAATAAATCAACTAGCATTTAAAAATATAAATTGTCTAAACTTCCTTTAATCATGCATGCATTTAGCTTTCTTCTTTGTCTATCTAAATACTATACAACCTCTTGATTTAGGTACATCTGCATACAAATTTATATAAGGTGTCAGAATCGAGTAAAATTCTTCCCTATGAACTTTTAAATCCAACCTAAGCCTATTTTGTTCTATGGGTCCTATCCAGTGCCGCTTCTCATATGAAAAATGAGAAATGTGTCAGTATTCATTTCTTAATGAAATTTCTTTAAGGCTTCTTACATACCTCTTTTTTTCTGTAATCCTTCTTAATTGCACATACTTTTACCCTGAGAAGAAAAAAGACAGAATGGACACTGTCACTCTATACTTCTTTATTATTCGAGACAAAGAAGGGGATTTGAAGTACCATTCACTTAGAACCTAGACACTAATGTACCATATGTAAAATTTACAATTGATGCTGTTGAACAAATGTGTTAGATACATATCTTGTGGTATTCATGTCCTTTTATATTTTGTTGTTTTGTAAAAACAGAAAACTCTGAGCAAAATAGTTGTTCAGATTTCAGTTGAACAGTTTGACCTCAGGACCAGATTGCATGTGGGCAACAGATCCAAACAGATTGGAATGGGGGTGTTGGATCGATGTCCATGATCTTTTTACCCAGAGAGTGCCTGGCATATTGCAATGTACAGAATGCCAGGAGCTGGCCAAGGATGTCACTTGGAAAATAAGAAAGGGAGGAAGAATGTTATTGCATTCTTAATATTTGTTGGTCCTAAAAAGTTACCATTTTATATGGCATATTCTTTATGTAGAGGGTCATATGGGTTAGTTTTACATACTATCATGTGAAATGCTGGTTTATATTAGTCATATTTGTATCAAATGATTAGAATCTTAATTGGATTAACATTGTTCTGAAAAAGATAGCTAATTTGACTTGTTAGTATTTGCCATAGCATGCACATCCACTCTTGTTCTTTCTCTCTCTTTTTGGCTCCTCTGTGATAACCTGTCCTCTTTGGGAAAGTTACTTTTCATATAATGGTTTATAATGGCATGGATGCATTAGATTATTTGGGGATAAGTATTTATACTACATCCTTTTAATAAAAAATCTTAAATTGACATAGATGCATATATTGGAAATAAAAACAAGTTGCCCTCTCTTAACAACTGATATAACACAGCTCCCTATGAAGAAGGTCTTTTAAAATATTCTTTAATATTTATTTATGATACAGGTCATTTCATACCCACCATAGAACAGTTAGGATAAAGAAAACCAGATGATCACAAAGAAGAAAATAAAAGTTCACTATCCAGTAGTAATAACTATTATCAAGTTGATGTTTGTCCTTCCAGATTTTTTCATGCATTTATATCTTTTAAAACAATAAATCATATTGTACATGCTTTTTGGGACCAGATTTGTTCTTTCCACATTATATAATGATGTCTTCCCTAACACACAGCTTTATCTCCATTTCTAATGACTTCAGAGTATTTATTGTGTGACTTAATTTAAGCCATTTTTATTTAAGCATGCCCTATCATTGAAAATTTAGGTAATTTCTACTTTGTTGCCATTAAAGAATTCTGCAATGGACATCCTTATAGTTCTCCCCACTCCCCTCTCTGCCTTCATTTAAGACACTCTCAAACAGGGCCTCCAAGTGTCCTCCAAGTCTTTCAGGGAATAGCTGCCATTCCAGACAGAGATGGGGTCAAATCCAGTTCTTAGTGCTTTGTGGGCAAGGTCTCACCAAAGGAAAGAGTGAACCAAAAAGTTGAGCTGTGGGCCAAGGAGAGTCTTCAGGACATTTTACTCTTTCTGCTGAGTATCTTCCCCTTCTGTTAATTCTATTAATAATGGTGGCCAGGGGTGCCTGGGTGGCTCAGTCGGTTAAGTGTCTGCCTTCCGCTCAGGTCATGATCTCAGGGTCCTGGGATGGAGCCCCATGTTGGGCTCCTTGCTCAGCAAGGAGTCTGCTTCTCCCTCTGCCTCTCCCCCAGCTTGTGTTCTCTCTCTCTCTCTCACTCACTCACTCTCTCTCTCAAATAAAAAAATAAAATCTTAAAAAAAAATAATGGTTGACTATCTATATAATCCTTTCCCTAGAAAGTGGTAGACTTCCTCAGCCATAGTTATTGGAGTGGAAGTTGCATTTATCCTGAAGGGCAGTTAGCCTTGTTTAAAAAAACAAAAACCAAAAAACAACTATTCGTCTACCTATCTATCTGTCTACCATCTATTTATCTATCAATTGGTCTGTACATCTGTCTAGCTGAAATTTGTAAATAAAGCCAAAAGATCCCAGCATGTCCTTTCTTTTTTTCCCTAGTGCAGAATTTTATTTTACCTTTTTTCAGCTTTATTGAGATATAATTGACAAAAAGAATTGTAAGATACTTGAAGTGTACATTGTGATGATTTGATACTTGCATATCTTTTCAGTGTCATACTAGAATACTGAGTAACAAGCCCACCTAAGTGTTGACTATTTAGGGCAGGGGTCGGCAAACATATTCTATAAAAAGCCAGATAACAGTCCTCTTCCAGGGATGGCGTCCATAGGCATTCAGAATAGTCCAGCGTTTGACCTACCGTTGTAGGCTGTCCTATAATACAATCTCTAACAAAACTAGGCTGTCCCGAACCCCTGGTAATAGAATCATTTACCTTTATACCAAGAAGGTTGGGAAAGCACCAAAATCTGCATGTGGTGTGTGCTCAGGCCAACTTCAGGGAGTTCGTGCTGTGAGACCTAAAGTCCTTATGAGGTTGTCCAAAACGAGAAAACACGTCAGCAGGGCCTACGGTGGTTCCATGTGTGCTAAGTGTGTTCGTGATATGATCAAGCGTGCTTTCTTTATCGAGGAGCAGAAAATTGTTGTGAAAGTGTTGAAGACCCAAGCACAGAGTCAGAAAGCTAAATAAAAAAATGAAGCTTTTTTGAGTAATAAAAAAAAATCAGAAGGCTTAAAAAAACACAAACAAACCGGATAACAAATATTTTAGGCTCTTCAAGCCATATGTTCTATGTCACAGTTAATCAACTTTGCTGTTGTATTGGAAGCAGCCACAGATAGTAGGAAAACAAATGTGTGTGACTATGTTCCAATAAAACTTTATTTACAGAAACATGAGGCAGAACAGAATGGCCCATACGCCTTAGTTTGCTGACCCCCTGCTCCAGGGAAATGTAATTTTGTTTACTATTTACTAATAACTGACAAGGAACAAATTGTTTTTGTATGGTAGAGATGCAAATGATTTATGTGCAATAGAAAGATAACCCAGTGGTTATGCTTTTATTGCCTTGTAGGACACTAGCTAGTGTAGAATCTGATTTAGCAAACTTCATGCGGCAATCCCCCTCCTGTATGTATTGATTTCTGTATCCAGCTTTGTCATCCTGGTTCTCTCACTGATAAGTTAAATAAAACTTGGGCATATGCTCATTGTTTATGTGAGAATCATGTTTTTAACTTTTTGAAAATTTTACTTTGACAGCCTGACAACCCTTAAGAAAAAGGAATTTGCAATGAGCATAACCTTCAAAGGTCAGCTCAGGCTTGCATCAGCTGCTTTCTGCAGCAGATCTGTCTGGCTTTCTGTTTGTCTCTCCCTTGGTGTGACCAGATTACTTACTGTCCCTGTAACCTCACCTTTTGTCCCTAAGAAGCTCCACTTTTTGAGGACAGGGCATCCTCATTGACAGAGTGATAGTCTTGTTTCTAAACATTTGTGACTGTTCTGCTAAATACATGCTGTGGCCAGTAGATTATTTCCATTAGCAACTCACTTAGGACAAGTAACACATTTCGCTAGATTATTAAAAAAAAAATAAAAGGTCTTTACACTTTTTCCTGTTATGATTTCATCCTGAAAACAAAACCAAGCCTATTAATACTCTCAGGGCTTGGCAGAGAGCCTTGTACTCAAGGGTTACTCTGCAGGACACACTGCCTTAGGGGTTCACTTTCACCCCCAGTGACCAAGCATCTATGCTCAGCATTCCCTTCTTGCTCAGAGCTTTGATGTATTTTTTCTTTTTAAAAAGCTGTTTTGTATTTACTGTATACAGGATGTGATTCTTCACTCTTTCTCTGCATCATCTTATTTGATCCCCCACCCCCAGCCACCCTAGAAGGCTACTACTGTTTATACTACCACTTCCTTGCATCTGCTGCTTTCTACCACTCTTTATAAAGGAGAAATCTGAGAACTCAAAGAAGGCTAGGCCCTTGCTCAAGGTCACATGGCCAGTAAATGGCAGAGTTAGGGTTTTAACCTAGTTCTGTCTACCCCCCAAAATTCAAGCTCTTAGTCTGTATTCCCCAACTCCCTACTCCTAGATCTACTCTCTGGGCCTGTCTTCAGATCAGACCTAGCTTCATTCTTGGGCCTTTATGACTACGGAAGGTAAGATTGTACTAATACTAAAATTTCTTTCTTCTTCTTTTTAATCAATACTTTAGTTATTTCAGAGTTTTAGATTCACAGCAAAATAGAAGGAAAAGTACAGAGATATACTCCCTGCCCCCAAACATGCACAGCATCACCCATCATCAATATCCCCCACCAGATTGGACTGGTTATAATTGATGAGCCTACATTGACCTATCATAATCACCCAAAGTCTATAGTTTACATCACAGTTCTCTTTTGGTGTTGTACATCTATGGGTCTGGAAATGTATAATGACATGTATCTATCATTATGATATCATACAGAGTAGTTTTACTGCCCTAATCATCCCTCCCTCTCCCCTGATCTCCGGCAACCACTGATCTTGTTACTGTCTCCATGGTTTTGTCTTTTCCAGAATGTAATATAGGTGGAATCATAAGTATGTAGCCTCATATAGATTGGCTTCTTTTGCTTAGTAATATGTATTTAAGATTCCTCTATGTCTTTATGGCTCAATAATGCATTTCTTTTTAGTGATGAATAATATTCCATTGTCTGGGTGTACCAGTTTACCCATTCACCTACTGAAGGACATTTTGCTTGCTTCCAAATTTTGGGAATTATGAAGGAAGCTGCTACAAACATCCATGTGCAGGTTTTTGTTTGGACATAAGTTTTTAACTCCTTTGGGTAAATATCAAGGAGCAACAATTGCTGGATTGCATGGTAAGAGTATGTTTAGTTTTGTAAGAAACCACCAAACTGAATTCAGAAGTGGCTGTACCATCTTGCATTCTCACCAGCAATGAATGAGAATTCTTTTTGCTCCATATTCTCGCCATCATTTGATGTTGTCAGTGTTCTGGACTTGGGCCATTCTAACAGGTATATAGTGATATCTGATTGTTGTTTTAATTTACATTTCCCTGATGACATATAATGTGCAGTATATTTTCATATGCTTATTGGCATCTATATATTTTCTTTGGAGTGATGTCTGTTAAGATCCTTGGCCCATTTTTTAATTGGGTTATTTGTTTTTTACCATGGAGTTTTAAGAGCTCTTTGTTTATTTTGGAGGAGTCATTTACTAGACGTGTGTTTTTCAAATATTTTCCCCCAGTCTGTATTTTGTCTTCTCATTCTCTTGACACTGTCTTACAGAGCAGAAGTTTTTAATTTTAGTGAAGTCCAGCTTATTGATTATTTATTTCATGGATTGAGCATTTGGTGACATATATAAAAAGTCAACGCTCTAACTAAGGTCCTCTAGATTTTCTCCTATGTTCTAGGAGTTTATTTTTTCTGATTTACATTTAGGTCTGTGATCAATTTTAGGTTAATGTTTGTAAGGGTATAAGGTCTGTGTCTAGATTCATTCTTCCACATGTGGATGCCCAGGTGTTCCTGCATGATTTGTTGAAGAGACTATCTTTGCTCCATTGAATTGCTTCTGCTCCTTTGCTCCTTTCTCCAATACCATACTGTCTTGATGACTCTAGCTTTATAGTAAGTCTTAAAGTCTGATAGAGTCAGTCCTGCAACTTTGTTCTTCCTCAGTATCGTGTTGACTATTCTGAGTCTTTTGCCTCTCCATAAACTTTAGAATCAGTTTGTCAATATCTGGACAACAACTCAATTTCTAGGATTTTGATTGGGATTGCATTGAATCTATGGATCAAATTCAGAAGAACTGACATCTTGATGCTTCCTGTCCATGAACATGGGATATCTTTCCATGTATTTCGTTCATATTTTATTTCTTTCATCATAGTTTTGTCATTTCCTCATATAGATCTTATGCATGATTTGGTCAATTTATACCTACATATTTCATTTTTTGGGTGCTAATGTAAATGACACTGTTTTTAGTTTTAGATTCTACTTGTTCATTGTTGGTATATAGGAAAGCAATTGACATTTGTGTATTAACCTTGTCCCCACAACCTCACTGTAATCACTAATTAGTTCCAAGATTCTTTGTGAATTAGCTTGGATTTTTTTAAATTTTGCATTTTCTGTAAAAGTGATCATGTCATCTGAGAACAAAGACAGTTTTATTTCTTCCTTCTTAATCCATATACTTTTTTTTTTCTTATGTCACCATACATTACATCATTAGTTTTTGATGTAGTGTTCCATGATTCATTGTTTGCGTATAACACCCAGTGCTCCATGCAATACATGC